TATTTATCCTGGATTATTGAGCATGCATCAGGATGTTATTCTGCATACACTGCAGCCATGATTCAATTAAAAACGGGCTGGATCAGATCAGCCAACATCATGAGGCGATTCCACCAGAATGGACTGGAATAACAATTCAGAGGCAAAAAAAAAAAAAAGTCCTCGGATGAAAAGACAAAACATCCAGTGAAACACACCAGTCACGTTTATCGTCATTAAATCTGAGTTCATATTGTTTGGCTTGAATTTTACCTCGACCGTAACAGCTGGGTAAAATGTTTGACTGTGCTGCTCCAAGATGTTAGAATGGATAAAGTAACCCGTGAAGCATCACAGTATGATGAGAAATGTTTAAATGGTTTATCCATGAGCCTGAAGTGCAGCTGCAACGTCTCGTCCTGACCCGCACACAGCACGATGCTAACAGGCAGAGGAGCTAACTTATCCGGATAACACAGAGATAAAAACACGAACTGCTGCATAAAAGGCACGAGCAAGGCTTGAGTTCAAACATGGAAAACAATTCAAATATCCCAGCGTGTAACTTTAGCCTGGCTGACATTTTAGCCAGTTTAACAGCAGACCAGCCTGTTTAGGAGCTAGCTACACTGCTAATGCTACGTGCTGGCTGTGAAGTGACAGAGGAGCTCTCCTCCTGCTGCTGCATCACCTTTTCTCCTTTACGCTGGGAAAATACCCCGGTCCGCCTTTAGGAAACAAGTCGCTTTCGAAGATGTCCGCATTTCCATGAAGAGTTGCTCCTGCTCCTTGTGAGCCGATTCAGCGCCACATAGCGTTACAGCTCGTCGACCAGTGTCTGCTCTGATAGAGCGCAGCCCGAGCCTGTGCTGCTGCTGCTGCCAGGGACCGTGTGTAAACCCTGTTCACTGTGTTTCTATAGCTCCAGGGACCGTGTGTAAACCCTGGTCACTGTGTTTCTATAGCTCCAGGGACCGTGTGTAAACCCTGGTCACTGTGTTTCTATAGCTCCAGGGACCTTGTGTAAACCCTGGTCACTGTGTTTCTATAGCTCCAGGGACCTTGTGTAAACCCTGTTCACTGTGTTTCTATAGCTCCAGGGACCGTGTGTAAACC